GTGGGTGGGGGACTAAAAATTTGAAAAGAAAAAACGAAAATAAAGAAGAAAAAAAATAAATTATGGAGATTTTATTATTATCTGACATTTTCAATATAATCTCGAGTTGTTTTGTTTACACTATATTCGGACTATTGTCTTCATCTTTGTTGTGCCCTCCGGCCTTCTCCAGGTATATATCGATCTGGGTAGCCTACAGGCAATTCTGAACTTAATCCTTTATTTAATCTACGGAGGTAGAATGTTCTCGTTCCACTGCTCATATCTAGGGGTATCTAGACTAGTTTTTATTTTATTTAGTACAGTTCAGTTATCGTTCGCCTGTTTCCACTGAGTGCAAGTACACATTACCTGATCCAGGGTTTGAACTTACAACCATTATGCTACCAAATTCACAAACCAACGCTTTTACCCAATAGGAATTTTCAGGTGTAAACTTAAAGCGTTAAACTAAACTTCACTGCTGATTAGGCTACCGCTGCTGCTGCTGTTGTCGCTATCTGCCATATTCTGGCTGCTGCTCATGTTTTTGGTTACTGCTGCTGCTGTTGAAAACTTGCTTACATCTGTCTTTCTTTATTAGCAGCTCCCATATTGTATTTATTTCTATGCTAGGTTTACTAAGGCGGCCCTCATAGCCTAGAGTATGTGCTGATTCTTTCAGACGCCTTACTCTCCAGTGTTCTTCCTTGTCCAGAATTTTCACTTCATTCCACAAGAGCTGATGAGCACCCCTTTCCTTCTATACATGATCAGCTATGTTTAAGTTGTTTGTTTGCTGACATCAAGGGATCACAAATATCTTTAAAGCTGCAGCACTTTTCTCGGTGACATTGTTTATTGTCTAGATGGCTTCCATTTTTGGGATTTTCAATTTCTATGTCTATTTTTTCACTGCACTTTGAAACTGTTCCAAGTGCTCAAATACTGAAAGTTCCAAGTGATAGGATTTTTAGTGAACAATTCCCTAGCCCGATGGAAATGTTCAACTCTTTTCCATTTCGTGATCGTCTGTTGAAACAAAAGAAATATGTCCTGCCTCGTATATTGCGATTACTAGAGCCGATGTCTATTTTCACAGCCCGAATTAGCACTGCCCAGCTCAGAATATACACGGCTAGGGGTTAGCTTCATCCAGAATGACTTTCGGAGTACGACCTCATCTCCGTGCCTTGATTGAGGAATCTATTTCAATTTCAGAAAGAAAACGGCTGATATTACCATTGACAGTATAATAATTCTTTTTACCTTGGGGAGGGGGAAAAGCAAAATTATTTGTGACTATTATTGTGATTATTTTTATCCTCATCAAGGAAGGATTATGGAAATTTTCATTATTTATAGGACTATGGAAATCCTTATTATTTATAGGATTACGGAAATCCTCATTATTTGTAGGATTATGGAAATCCTCACTATTTATAAGATTATGGAAATCCTTATTATTTATAGGATTACGGAAATCCTCATTATTTGTAGGATTATGGAAATCCTCACTATTTATAAGATTATGGAAATCGTCATTATTTATGGGATTATGGAAATCCTCATTGTTAATAGGAATATGGAAATCCGCATTATTTCGCATCTTCTCATCAGAATGACAAAATATTCAATATATTCAATTTCTGAAGTCATTCTAATAACGCCCTAATAATAATGATAATACTTTGGTTTCGTTTGTTTGTTTAACGGCATATCAACTCTCATGGGTCATTTTTTTATTTTCTTGTGAGCTTTGATAATTTTGTGTATTGCTAATAATTTCTTCATTTTTTTTTTTACTATTAAAATGGATTACTGGTAATTTTTTTTCATGTTTTGACCCCATTTTGGGGGTCCACTTTTTGCCTATTGTCCTTATCTTTGTTATTGTTATCACAAGCTTTCAGCTATTGTGCCCTCCAGCGCTAATCAGCAGGTAGGTTAGTTTTAAAGCTCCAAGTTCATTCCAGGTAATCGGAGTCATACCGATGAAATAAGTATTTGTAATTGGTATACGAATGTTCTTGAACAAAAAGAAACATTATTCGCCAAGAGTTCAAGAAATATGACTTTAGATAAACCTTCCCAAAAGAGAAAAGCTGATCTGGAATTGGAAGGAAAGCGGTGATGGCACCGACCCTGAATCCATCATCAAAATCAGAACGCGTTAAATTGATATTTATTGACACTATTTACATTCGGACTATTCTCCTTATCTTTGTTATTGTTATTACAGCGTTTCTGTCGTTCTGTCTTTCGACCTTCTTCAGGTATATATATATCAGGTCTATCGCAAAAGATTCAGAAAATCTGCGATCCATGCAAGATCAGGGCAATATTTAAAAGCAGCTCCACACTACAGGGAAATCTCTGCCGAGTAAAGCCTAACACGAAGGAGAACATTACCAAAAACGATGTGCACTTCATTCCTGGTAGTTGTAGCAAAGAATATAAAGGTGAAACAACCCGTCCCCTAAGATTAAGGCTGGAGGAACATCGAAAATCCGTAGTACGTGGTAAGACAATGAAATCGAGCATGGCTGATCATATATTGAGGGGAAATGGTAGTATTCAGCCCTGTGAAATGAAGTGAAAATACTGGAAAAGGAAGAACACTTAAAGTTAGACGTGTGAAAGAATCAGCACACATGCTAGGCTATGAGTATCTCCTTAGTAAGCCTAGCATAGAAATAAATACAATATGGGAGCTGCTAATAAAGAAAGAAAGACAAATGACAGCAACTCCTCAACAGCAGCAGCTATAACAAAAGAGAAAAGCTTCAGTAGAGCATGACACGCAGCAGCAGCACTCAAGTAGGCAAGTTAGGTTTAGGGCTCCAAGTTCTCCAAAGAAAATGGTCCTTTAGGACAATAGCCTAGTGGATTAAAGTGTTAGTTCATGAATTTGGTGACATAGTAATTGTGAATTCAGTGTGTACTTGGACTCTATGAAAACAGGATGAGCAATAACTGAACAGAATTAAAAATAAGAACTAGACAAGATATCCCTAATGGAATGAGAACAGTCTACCCCTGTAGATTAAATAAAGGGTTCAGTTCAGAATTTTCTGTAGGTTTCCCAGATTGATATACACCTGATGATGGCTGGCCAGTACAACAGCCAAAACTTTGAGATAGCAACAACAAAGATGAGGACAACAGTCCGAATGTAAATATTTTAAATAATGATAACTCCTCATCCCAGAAATCCAGACAGAAATCTATCTTTACACTTAAAACTGAGAATGGCATAAGTTTAACAGCTTCAGATAGAAAACCCAATTTATAATTTTAATTTTTTTTAGTGTGTGGTGAGAAAAAGTCATCAGCCCATGTGGAATGAAGTGAAAATACTGGGCAATGAACACAGGAGAGTTAAACGTCTGAAGAAATTAGCGCGTATGCTAGGATATGAGGATCTCCTTAGTAGGCCTAGCAGAGAAATAAATACAATATGGGAACTGCTAATAAAGAAAGACATATGACAGCAAGGCTTCAACAGCAGCAGCTATAATAAATAGAAAAGATTCAGTGGAGCATGAAAAGCAGAAACAGCATTCACCAGTAGGCTGGTTAGGTTTAGGGCTCCAAGTTCTGAGAAGCCTTGTGGTTATTTCTTGGATTTGGTGACATAATAATTGTGAGTTCAATCTCTGATCTGGGCAGTGTTTACTTGGACTCAGTGGAAACGGGTGAGTAATAAATGAGAATTACTAAAAATACGAACTAGATGAGATATCCCTAGACATTGTGCAATGGAATTAAAACAGTCTATCTTTGTAGATTAGATAAAGGGTTCAGTTCAGAATTCTCTGTAGGTTACCCAGATCGATATAAACCTGAGGAAGGCCGAAGGGCATAACGGCCAAAACGTTGTAATAGCAACAACAAAAAATGATGACAATAGTCCGTATATAAATAGTTTAAATAAATCAAAGTATATTTAATATTATTTAGTCATTTCAATTTTCCAATCAGCAGTGAATTTCTCTAAATATTAAATGACAGGTCTTCATACTACTCAGGATTCTCCTCGGTAGCAAATTTTATTATCCGTTCTTTCAGTTTCTTTTCAATTTCTTAATAACTCTCCCAACAGCATTAATAATAATTTTAATAATGAAAGGCACAAATGCAAACCTTATTTTCTACAATTATTCTGCCATTTTTATTTCTTCTTATTGTTTGAAAACTTTTCCTACCATTGCAACTGAATCCTTTCTTTGTGAATTAACCTTTGACCCAGATCGTTTCAGATCTTTTACACCAGGGAAAATAAACCTGTTGATGAGATGTTTTCGTGCTTGATTGAATATAAATCAAGCATTGAGCGGACAATCTGACTTTGATAATCGTTTTGCCATAAGAAAGGAAAACATATTGTTCACGTCATCGTGATTGAAAAAAAAAAAAAAAAAAACAAAAAGGAAAAAAAAAATTCCCTAGCGGAGAATGAGATTTAGTAGTAGCGACATATTTTGTTCAATGTCAAATATATTCCACTGGAGTTGCATCGCTGGGCTCAAGAAAAACCTGACTTGTATTGCAAATGAAGTTTTTCGAAGCTGACGGCTCATTTCAAAAACTCTCCTAATATTCTTACAAGATTCAAGAGAAAATAAGATGTCAGTTTGTTTTTCGAATTCCATCAACATAGGACGAAAAGAAATTACTTAAGCGAAACCAACTAAGCAAAGTATTAAGAAACAGGACAATTTCATTAGAAACAAAAATTGACTAACTGATTGATTTGTGTTTATTTTACGGCTTATTAAACTTTTGCAAGTTATTTAAAGCCAGAAAATGCTTTTAGATTGTAAGAATTTTTCTGAGATAATAATGATTTGCTGATGCAAGTTCTACTAATTAACCCATAGCTGGGGGGACATGGATTCATACCTTTTCCAATGGTATTTGTGCGTAAGTGAATATATCGAACCGGACTGGAATCGGAACTCGGCTCTCCGACTCCCAATTCTAAGCCGTTTTCCATTGCACCACCCGCACATCCAAGCTCACAGCACCTGGTGTTCCCAAACCGTCACCCGTCTAGGTAGGGACCACGCACGCTTAACTTCGGTGATCGTGCGGGAATCGGTGTTTCAACGCGATATGGCCGTAAGTCACTTGCTCAATAATGTTTCTTAATGCTTCCAAAATGAAATCCATATTTTTGCTAAACATTTAACACCAAGCAAGGCAATAAAGTCACTAAGACTCAAGGTGGTTAGTGAGTGCGAAAGGAAATAAGGAAACTTGACTGAGGAGAAAGGAAAAATAAAAAAAACAGGGATTCAAAGCGATAGATGACGATTGATGTTGCATTTAAATTTTGGAAAATCCTAGTTGATAAAGAAGGAAGAAACTGGAAGAGTTACACAGCAAAAAAGTGTGGGAGAAGAAACTATTAGAATAGAACTTGCGGTTACAGTAAGCAATTTCAGCATTAAAATGAGAAGACCTAATTGGCAAGCTAGTAATACTGAGTAATTTCATTATTTATTAAGCATTTGATTTTTGCTTCCATTATTTTAGGATCAAAGTTCTTGAGGCAGAAGCAAATCATTTGCAGTTATGATACCGCAAAGTTGGAAAATGATAGTCACCATACAGTGTTGATTCTTAAGTCTATATTGTCTCTCTCTCCCTCTACCTTTATTTCTTTCCCACTTTCTTTCTCTCGCTCACTCTCTATCTAAACCCATAAATAATTATGTTGTCCACACCACCTGCCAGTCAAGACGACTGACACTACATGTCGCCGACCTGTGCTCAATACGAACACATTTAAACCAAACCGAATCTTACCAATGTGAATACGTAGCATAATTGTCGAGACAGAGACGTGATCTGTACACCGAACTGTGAATAGAGTTTTAAAATGATGGAAGCCATTATTATAAAAACAAATGAATTGCGAAATCATTATTTAACCTACAATAAAATAATTTATACGACCTTTTTGATTAAAGCCTAAACTATTAATTGATAAAAAATAAACAAAAGTAAAAAAATGTAAAGTTGATAAATATAACTTTAGTTAAACAAAAACAAAAGGTAAAAATAAGGTTTGGTTTGGTTTGTTTTACGGTATATCAACCTCAATGGGTTATTTAATGCCGACAATTTTATTGCTGGTAATATCTTTTTCAAACGGTATTGCGAGAAATAATTTTTTTCTTCAAATATATTTTGCTGGTAATAATTTTTTACAAAACTTTCCGGTATTAAAAAGTATTTTTACACTTTCATAGTGTTTTGATCCCAGTTTAGGGTTAACTATTTGCCCATAGCTGGGACCTTAACAGGTGCTACTACTCCGGGTCAGGGTGGATCTGGGAACACCAGCAATTAAGAGGTGGTTCCACGCTCCTCAAAACCTCCTGATCAGATGTCTTGCTGTCCGACGTAATTTATCATCCTACCCAGGACGGGTAAAAATAAGACAAACGATCTTCAGGTTAGTCGTAAAAAATAACAGAAACGCCCAATAACTGCGGAAAAAGTTTAAAGAAATAATAATAAACAATACATGTATAACTTCAAATAAATATAATGATCATAATGTATATAATAAATGAAATAAAATAAATAATAATTGCAAATCATATTAAATTATTATATTACTCTTAGTTTTAAGTAATATCTACGCTTTTCAGTTAAACTTAAAATCCGTTAATGTTTTGGATCTTCGACAAAATGCATCATGTTGCCTTAAGTTCAGAACACCAAAAACAGATGTAATTGTGTGATAATACACTTAGTTCGAGAATATGTGAAGAGACGCGTGGAAACGACGCATTCTTCAAAAAGACTTTGAGGAGAGCCTGGTGTGGCCACTGGCACTCGATGGCTACAGAACCTGGACATTGACAGTCGTCGATGTTAACTAATGTCTTTCGAGACAACATCTTACAGGCGGGCCCTGCACATCACTTGGACAGACTACAAAACAAATCAGTCGGCCGTGGAGGAGATGAGAACGGAGAGATAATTGATAGCCACCATAAGGAAAACGAAAACTGCAATAGACTGGCCATGTCATCAGGTCACAGAACTTCTGTACCCACATCATGGAGGGACGTATCGATAGCAGGGGACTGAGGGGAAGACCAAGGTGACGATGGATTTAGAGACTGGATAGGGACAACGCTGGGTTGGGGGAGTGCATGTGTATGGCGAGGGAGAGGAGAGAAATGTCGACCGGAGTCCGGGGGGTGGGGGGTTTGATCATCGAGTCGATCGGAACGATCCTTTCCTTAGCTGTGTAGTATGTGCTTCGCCAGGGCTACGTACAGTTTTTCTTCTCCTTGACCGGTTGCCACCCAAGTTTTATTTTGTTGATGTTATAAAGATTATCATTTCATTCCCAACTTCCATTTTGGTTGTTCCTCATTCAGTAACCTTTCCTAGGTTACAACAGGACCATTTGAAAGAAAGAAATAAAGAAAATGAAAGGGAGAGAGAAAGAAAGAAAGAAAGAAAGAAAGAAAGAAAGAAAGAAAGAAAGAAAGAGGAAACATTGTGTAGAATTAACCATTTGAAAGAAAGAAAGAAAGAAAGAAAGAAAGAGAATGGCTAGGAAAGAGGTTCTGAATTGAAAGAAAAGAAGGAAAGAAACTAAAAAGAAATAGTAATAGTAATGGTAATATTAGCGGTTTCCCTATAAGGAAACATTTGCCAACCATTAACCGAGCAGCTAGTACTGTTTTCAGTTGAAATTCATAAAATCTTTCTAAAACAGATTTAGAAAAATAAGTTTACTAAGCCCAGTAGTTTCGCCATGGCTACGTACAGTTTTCCGTCTCCTAGACCGGCTGCCATCCAAGGTTATAGAACCCAGTCTGTGCGGGGAGGGGGACGAATTGGATTCATACATTTACCAAGGATATTAGAATGTAAGTGAAATTCGAACTCGGCTCTCAATCCCTTACTCTACCGTGGCCCCCAGGGCAGAACATTGGTCCCCACCCCTCAGTAATGAGGGTGGGAGGAACAAAGGAGTTTATCGGCTTGAAGGATTAAAAGATTATTTTCTTTTTTGAAATATTTTGAATGCTTCAAATAAATCGTCAGTTTATCCTAAACACTGAATGATTTTTTCTTTTTCAACTCTTTTTATTGCGAAAAGCTTTAGATTAACTTTGGCAGATGATGTCGCCCACTGTAATGCTGCTAGTCTCAAAGACCACTTTACCAATTTCGCGGATTTCTCTTAGATTAAGTTGAACTTGACAAATAGCAATAGACTCAGTAGTCATTAGGAAAATTGTCACCATCTTGCAGACGGCTCCATTTATCTGATTGTCTGAATCTTTCTCTTGTTTCCATCCTTTTCCGCTAGTAATCTATTCTTACCTTGAGAAAGGAAACAAATCGTCAGTTATCAGCACATAAGCTCATAGATTATTCCTTGCTACCAATTAAGCCAGTACGTGTCACATAAAACTAGATGAGAAGAACACAACCAATCAACACAATGTATCTTAAACATACTATGAATAAACATTTAACCTGATGACCCAGGATATGATAAAAAAAATTCTTGAAAAACTATCGCCATTTTATTTTATTTCTGCGTATATATACTTGTTGCAAAATATAATCATTACATTTACATTGATAAAGTATATCGGAGGACGAAACGCGTCGGTATAAGACAAGTTTTTCTTTTGTCTTTATTCATATATATATATATATATATATATATATATATATATATATATATTGATAATATTAGTGGTCAATACACACCCACAGATATATATATATATATATATATATATATATATATATATATATATATATATATATGTTGTGGATTCCGAGATGAATTCGGTCTCCAAGGAATGACAAACGCAATAATTAAACATAAGAAATAAAATGTATTTACACAATCATACAAAGAGTAATACCGTTAGTAAATCCAGGAACGAGGTTAGTAGCAAATACAGATAGATATATACAGTCTCGAAGTAGGACTTCCTTAGAGTCTACGTGCTTGTAACTGACTTCTACAAGAGGTTACTTCACACAAAAAATATATATATACGAACGGAGATGTTCGTATATATATTTTTTTTTCTCTCTCTCTCTCTCCGTATATCCTCTCTCACTATCCGACTACCCTCACGACTGTCCAACTCTGGGTATTTAACGGCAGCCGTCCAAGTAACACTGGTAGAGTCCACTTATATGAAAAGGGGAGGAACCCATAACAATATATATATATAAATTCCCAAGAGGATAGAATCAAGGTAGAACTGAATGTCCAGGACAGAGTAAGAATATAAAAGGCTCAAACACTAATATTCTGTGGTTATAATTTATTACATTGGAATCGTAATCACGATCCAATTCATCAGACCTATGAATTCATATATATATATATATATATATATATATATATATATATATATATATATATATATATATATATATATATATTATTATTATTATTATACTAGTAATACTCTGTTGGAAAAAAAAACTCGGATAGCACAACTTGTAAGTAAATCGTCCAGTGCCTTAAGTTTTTAGTCCAAAGAAAAAAAAAAAAAACAAGCAGTATGGATTTATTTAGCTCTTTAAGATTTATTTCATATATATATATATATATATATATATATATATATATATATATATATATATATATATGATAAGATAAAGAACAAATAGGAGACATTTATCAATTTAACATGTTTCTCTTTAATTAAAACTTCGTATAGCGGCTCGGATTGAGAAATCGAAGAGCCGAGTTCGAATTCCAGTCGAATCCGTTACATTCACTTACGTGCTATTATCTTTGTGAAACGTACGGATCCTCTTCTTTCCCCACAACTCCAAAAAAAAAAAAATATTCTATATTTTTTTAAAAAAAATATTATAGGTTCTATAGCCTTTGGCAAGCAACTTGTCTACTGCAAAAAGAAATGGCAACCTACTGCGGAAAAAATCTGCCTCGTCCGTCATGTATCGAAAAATAAATGATCTCCTAAGCGTGTATCACGCATGATACATAACTGACTGACAGAGATTGTGAGAAAACAGATAAAAAGACAGAATATTAGTATTTTAAATTTTGTTTGTATCGATTCTCATTGGTCAGTCGTGTATCACGTCATGTATCATTAAAACTGTAGATAACCCTATAATTATGTAAGTTTGTAAAAATTCTAGTATGTCTAAACGGGCATCGGATGGTAGTGTGTATTTTTAATTGGGTATGTGCGTCTGTCTAGTAGGAGGAGGAGTTTTAATGTTTTTATTCTTTTGTAGTCAGTCGATGTAGTGGGGTGGTATTCTATTAACCTGAAGCTGTTTTTATATACGTATTCATATATATGGATAAGCGATGTATATACTTTTATATATCAAGAAAGATTTTAGGGAAAAAATATGGCAAAGTGGAAAGTTTTCATGTGACGCATTTCGTCCTTTAGGACTTCATCAGACTAAAATGATATTTCCGTTGATACGATTACACATGTGCATGAAGAAGAGGGGAGGCTGATAACATACATACCTGTCAAATAACGAGATGTTAATTGCTGATTAAAATGCATAGAAAATGGCAATGCTTACGTGGGAAAATAATGCTTCGTAACCGAATTATTTTATTCGGTCGAGCTAGTTCGAACATTAATCACACCAACCATCACTGTCTTATATCGAGTTCGGAAGGTTAATAGGATGGCATTCTGTGTCATAACATAACTGGTCAATGTAGGTGGTTCCTGGGCGACCAACCCGTCTTGCTCCATTGCTAGGTGTCCAGAGTTGTAGATGACTAGCAAATTCTTGTTTTTGCTCACCAACAGTGTCCTTCAAAGTGCATCTTGGGTTCGTGTAAGATTGTAGAAATATCGTGAATGGGTCTATACAGTGGTGAGCTGATTAGATGTTGTCTTCAGGAGATGTTAAATATAGCTCTCAGCATCTGAGTGTAGGTCCCACCTAGCTTAGACTCTAGGGTTTTATTTAATGTCCCATACAAGGCACCATACATTAACACCGCCTCTACCGTGGCTTGAAAGGATCTCCGTTTGAGATTGTCTGGTAGATCAGATTTCCAGATTACATCCATTTTATTCAAGGCAGCTATGCGATTTTTCACATCCTTTTCAGTACAATTTATACGTTCTCCAATCCAATAGGGTTAGTGTGCCCCCACTATTTGTTGTAGTCTCCATGAAATAAATAAGTATATATATATATATATATATATATATATATATATATATATATATATATAAATTATTAGGAGGATTTGATAATTATAATTAATTCATCGAGTCTGAAAGAATTCTGTTGAGGTTTCTTTCAGACTCGACGAATTACTTAATTATAATTATCAAATCCTCCTAATAATTTCTATCACTTGTATATAATTCCTTGAACTGGTTTCTAATGCTCAAGTTTGAGCGGCTTGGTGATAGTAGTCGTGGCTCCTGGGGGCACAGTCCTATGGTTATAGAGAATCTCAGTTGAGTTCCACTACTGAATATGTGAGTGAGCGGCGCTATATTGAGTCTGATTTGCTACCCACTTCGTCAATGAGGCCCGTTGGAACAATTGGTATGACGTTTGCATGGTAACCTGTCAGGGTTTCAATTCTCGGTAGTGAATGCGCACTGCTGATCAGTCCCAAATATAGGACGAAACGGCCGTCCAGTGCTTTCTGCATTCTGTTGAGGTTTCTTTCAGACTCGATGAATTACTTAATTATATATATATGAAGAAATATAGTTTTAGGGTGTGCTATATTTATGGGATAAGTGCTCAATATCAGAAATAGAGCGTATGTTGGTGATAGAGCGTGTATATATATATATATATATATATATATATATATATATATATATATAAGTGTGTTGTAGTGAGAGGAATCTTTTCTGAGTAATCAAATACCGTCGTCTTGTGCTAGATTAAGAAGGGTTAAAATACCGATGGTTCCCTAACGTAGAGCGTAGAAAGGCGGTTAACGAGCTCGTGTGTTGTGTTCACTAGAAATTTTCTTCTTTACTTAATGCTGCTGAAATATGGCCTTGTGCCAATGATGCTTACTTGAGCATACACGAACTTCATGACATTGTGTCCATTATAGAACTTATAAGGAATAGCGAAAAGATTGTCCGAATTGTTTTCTGACTTTTAAATGTTCTTAATGTTTCAAACGCTTCGTTGAGTTGACAATATGAAAGAAAATGTATTTATCAGAGGCCAAGACTTCTTGTAACACGGGATGAAAATTCCTGTCTCACAGATGCGAGGGAATCTTTTATTTCTTGGCCCGATCAACTGATCATTGTTGCCATAATGGTGGTGTTCTTCTAAATTTCAGGAATGACACTTGAATCTTTGATACAGTTCTCTTAGTTGACATCGGGTTGGCAAATGGTGCCGAATTCAGAGCCAAAATGTCCTTTAGAACCACATTTATTATGGCAGTAGACGAACTAACTAATGTACATTGGATTTAAGAATAAAGAATTCGAGCAGTCCAAGAATTCTGAAGGTTAAATTTGGCGGCTCTGTATTCTGGCTGAAAAACTGGTGGGGAGCAAGTGGTGAAAAGAAAAAGTGCGTGGGAGGAAGAATTAGAAAGAAAGAATGCAAGGAAAAGAAAAGTAAGAGAAAAAATTGGGGAGAATGGACCATTTGAAAGAAAGAAAGAAAAAGAAGAAGAAAGAGAAATATAGAAAGAAAGAAAGAAAGAAAGAAAGAATGAAGGAAAGAGGAAAAATTGTAAAGAACGGACCTGTTACATACCGCACCTATGGGTATGTCCCAATCCTCATAAATACATTGGACCCTCTTGTAAGATTGGTCGGGGGGTAATATGCTGTCTAAGTAGTCCACCACTAGCAGTGGTTTACCTACTTCACGCCGCTGGCGAGTATTTTATGTTGTTGATGTTATAAAGATTACCATTTCATTTCCAACCTCCGTTTTGGTTATTCCTCAATCAGTAACCTTTTCTAGCTTACAAAAGGACCATTTGAAAGAAAGAAATAAAGAAAGTGAAAGGGCGAGAGAAAAAGAGAAAGAAAGAAAGAAAGAAAGCGGAAACATTGTGTAGAATTAACCATTTGAAAGAAAGAAAGAAAGAAAGAAAGAAAGAAAGAAAGAAAGATAATGACTAGGAAAGAGGTTCTGAAGACTAAAAAAATTGAACGAAAGGAAGAAACTAAAAAGAAATAGATAATAGTAATGGTAATATGAGCGGTTTCCCTATAAGGAAACATTTGCCAACCATTGACCGAGCAGCCAGTACTGTTTTCAGATGAAATTCATAAAATCTTTCTCTTAAAACACCTTTTTTAAAAAAATAGGTTTACTAAGCCGAGTAGGTTTATCGTTCTTTCCAGTATTGATCTGGGAGGGGGAGTTCCTTCTGAAGCTTTTATTTGAAATGGTGTCGAATGTTAGCATCTTTATTATGGCATTTTGGGATGAAAAGAGCAAAGGATGAAGGCAAGAGAGAGAGAGAGAGGATATTAGAGAGAGAGGGGGGATATTAAAGAGAAGGAGAGGATATTAAAGAGGGAGAGGATATAAAAGAGGGAGAGGATATTAAAGAGAGTGACAGGGGATATTAGAGTGACAGAGAGAGAGAGAGGATATTAAATAGGGAGAGGATATTAAAGAGAGAAAGAGGATATTAGAGAGGATATTAAAGAGAGAGAAGATATTAGAGAGAGAGAGGATATTGAAGAGAGAGGATATTAAGGAGCGGGAGATGATATTAAAGAGAGAGAGGATATCAAAGAGAGAGAAGATATAAAAGAGGGAGAAAATATTAAAGAGAGAAAGAGGATATTGAAGCGATAAAAAATAAAAAAAAATAAATAAAAACGCCATAATTAAGAAAGGCATGAATAATGAAATCCGTAAAATTAAAAAGAATGAAAAAGAATAAAATCAAATTAAAAATTACATTGAATAAGATCGAAGAAAAAGTTTAGGGATGAATAAAAAATGAAAGAATGAATAGAAGTGAATGAAAATGTTTAAGAATGGAAAAAATGGAAGAAAAAGTTTGAAGAATGAAAGCAGATAAAATTTGCCAACCATTGATAAAATAAACGAAAAATTCATCAAAGAATAAAATTAAATGAAAAAGTTAAAAAAAATGAAAAATGTGAAAGCATAAAAATATTAACGAATTGAATAAAAACGAATGTAAATATAAAGAATGAATAAAAGCGAATGAAAAATTGAAAGAAAGAATTAAATATGAAATAGTTAAAAAAGAATACAAACTAAATTAAAAAATGAAAATGAACGAAAAATTTAAATAATAACGTCTAAAAATTATAAAAATTAATAAAAAAATAAGTGAAAGTTAAAGAATGAATAAAAGCGAATGAAAAATTGAAAGAAAGAATTAAATATGAAATAGTTAAAAAAGAATACAAACTAAATTAAAAAATGAAAATGAACGAAAAATTTAAATAATAACGTCTAAAAATTATAAAAATTAATAAAAAAATAAGTGAAAGTTAAAGAATGAATAAAACCGAATGAAAAATTGAAAGAAAGAATTAAATATGAAATAGTTAAAAAAGAATACAAACTTATGAAAAATTAAAAAATGAAAATGAACGAAAAATTTAAATAATAACGTCTAAAAATTATAAGAATTAATAAAAAATAAATGAAAGTTAAAGAATGAATAAAAGCGAATGAAAAATTGATGAAAATTAAAGAAGTTCAATAAATAAAGAATGAATAGAAACGAATGAAAATTTTCAAGAATGAATAAAAAGGAATAAATATATATATAAATGTATTACAAACTTAAATAAACAAAATGAAAAAGGCAAAGAAAAAGAAAAGAAAGAAAAGAAAGAGAAAATATTAATTAAGTTTTCTAACACTTTCTGTCTCTCTTAATATTTTTCTCTCTAATATTTTTCTCTCTTAATATTTTTCTCTCTTAATATTTTTCTCTCTAATATTTGTCTTTCACGTCTTTTATATCTCTCTGATTCACATTATTTTCTAATCGATATATTTCTACCTTCTGATCCATCGCTTTTATCTCTTAAAGCATAAATCTTAATGTGGGGAATTCCCTAACTCACACCGGAAATGGCGACATTATTTCTGCCAAATGCTGATAAGCCAAATCGGAGTCTTTCTCATCACTTCAAAGTCCAAAATTTATATGAAAGATCATTTCAAGGCTCTAAAGTGAAATGATCAGTTTAATCTCGGATTTTAAAGCTAGGCCTCTTCCCAGAATTCTTTTGTGACTTCATTTTTATTCTAATATTATTAAAAAAAAAAAAAGGCTGTAAACCTTTGTATCATTAGAACTCGCTAAACGACACACTCTCTCTCTCTTTCTCTCTCTCTCACTCTCTCTCTCTTTCTTTCTCTCTCTCTCTCTCTCTTTGACAATGTTGGCTTGTACTGATCTAAGTAAAACTCTGTAGATATCAATACTTGCTTAAATGAAATCTTTTTAGTTGAATTCTACGTGTATGAGAAGAATTCTTCTTTGTTTTCGGTCCAACAGAATTAAATAAAATTAATGATATGCGTGTGGTGTAATGGATAACGAGGCTCGGATTGAGTTTGAATTCCAATCGAGTTTATTGCATTCATTTACGCGCAAATACGCTTCAAAAGGTTATGAATCCATCTTTTCTAAAATAGCTAGGCAGACTGGCTCTTTAGCCGTGGTTGGAAACCAGTCTCGGAGAATGATAACTCTGAATTCAATCTATAACGACCAAATCACCGGTTGCTCTTTGGCAAAACATAGTACCCGGAAGTCATCCCTGCCAGGGTTACGGTGAAGACATCGGTATCAGGATGTTGGGTGTGATCAATGGCAGAATCTAACAGACTAGATCTGGCATTGAAGTGCAAAAACATGAAACTTAATTATTTCGAGTCAGATGGAAAATGTGGCAAGACCCAGAGTGGTACCCTGTGTTTCTTAATATATGCTAAACCGAAACCTCGAGGATGACATACGTAAAGTCACAAGGGGGAAGCGTGTGTGGATGCTGTGTAGCTTCCCGACGGACGACTTAGACTCAGAAGTCTTTTATAATTAGAATTGATGCAAAACTTAAAAATAGGGGAGTGAAATTTATGACCAGTCATAAGAGTGCTCGTAATTGTCTTTATATTCCATATGAGAGGATTTGGAAATCCAAATTAAAAGCGAAAGAAACATCGATGCAGACGACAGCGATACTGAAAAAATGTTCTTGAGCACATGGGATATTGATTGTCAATGTGGCCTCCAGCAACATCGAAGAAAAAAGAAACAGAATTATTATTACTGTCATATACGATGCCTTGAGTAAAAAAAAAAAAGAATAATGATCACAACTTGTGTTGCTGTTGCTGCAGTCACGAAATAAATATAGACATAATACAACATGTAGAAGTAATTTTATTATTACAAGAACACAATCATCGAAAATCTGGAATTTTATTATTACGACAAGAACATAATCATCGAAAATCTGGAATTTAATTTTATTATTACGGCAAGAACACAATCATCGAAAATTTGGAATTTACATTCAAATAAATTGAAAAATAAACACTATTAAGGAGAGAGAACAATAAAAAAAAAACAAGTATTAAGACAGAAGATAACAATTGTCATTGCATTTAAATTTTTGAAGATTAAAGTTGACTGGAAAACAATAAACCGGAAGAGAGTTCCACAAGCGACAGAAGAAATTGTTAGCATAGAACTTCTGGTTACATCTAGCAGCCATTTCAACTGTAAAATGATGAGACATTGCCGCTAATCTAATAATGCGCTTAAAGTCATAAAGTTTAGGCATCATAGACGAAAGTTAATCAGAACAATTACCATGAAAGTATTTATAGAAAAGGCAGAGGGAAGCTATGTTACGGCTGTAGGAAAGTGACTGAAGCCGAGATGCCAGGTCAGGGCCAATAATATTACAGATACTTCTTTAGATTTTACCAATAATATTTAAATATATTACCGGAGCAGCAGGCCATATATGATAGCCATATTCAAAGCAAGGACGAATGGTAGACTTTTAAAATATGTAAGATAGATTCTGGAGAGAGAAAATGTTTAACACGACACAGTGAGTCAAGCACACTTAGAAATTGATTCAATATAATCTTTCTATGCCAGGTTAGAATGTTAACCTGAGAATGTACAAAAAGTCCTTCTCCTGGAGGCTAGCATTAACCATGCTGATAAAAAGCAACAAGGGTTCTCTCAGATGATTAAATGGGCGCAGTTTGGAGGCGTTAAATTAACAAGCCATTCCTTGTCTCAGTTAACAACAGATTGCCAGTCATTTTAAGACCAGCTGCTAATTTGACCTTATCGAACCGATCAGACTTACATTGGGCTTTTTAGCCACCCTTGATTACAGCAATTTTAGCTTGTTTAATAACGTCTCTTCTTTTTTTTTCAGACAATATCGTGTTAGTGACAAGCTACTCTCATCTATAATCAATAGTTGACTTATACCTTACTATGAAAGTTCATGGAAGTAAGGAATTTAGTGAATTTCAACGAGGGCAAATAATAGGATGGCATCAGTGTGGCAAGTCAAACAGAGAAATTGCTAGGTTTTTCCATGTTAATCATCAAACTGTTAATAATATTGTCAAGAAATCTAATGAAGGCCATTGTCATGTGGAACAACGTTCAGGAAGACCAATTATCGTATCTGAGCGAACGAAAAGGGCACTGAATAGGGAAGTCATCAGAAACCGTCGTCAGAGCGTCAAAGATGTCGCCAATAGCATGGAAATCTCGCCATATGCGATGAGAAAGACTTTGAAAGAGTTAGGCTATCAAAGAAGAGTTGCAAGAAAGAAGCCTTTGATTTCAGAAGTTAACAGGAACTGGCGTATGGACTATGCGAGAGAATTCGAGAGCAAAGATTATGAATTTTGGCAGTCTGTAATTTGGTCAGATGAAAGTAAATTCTGCCAATATTCTAATTCGAGATTGGTTTATGTTTGGAGAAATCAAAATGAGACTTGGAACACTGAATGCCTGCAGGTGACCGTGAAACATGGAGGGATTGGAGTAATGGAGTGGGGCGATGTCTGGTTTGGAGGAAAATCTGAGCTGATTCTTGTTGATGAGTGGTTTAATGATCAAAAATACTATCAAATATTAGAGAAAGGACTACTTTATCAAGAAGATGGAGCGTCATGTCATATAAGCAAAGTAGCAAAGACCTAGAAGGAATCGCAAGGAATCATGTCACTGCCATGGGTAGCCCAAAGTCATGACATGAATCCAATAAAGCACGGTTGGGAGCACCTTCACCGAAAGCGTGCAACCAAAATCACGTCAGTGGCAACCCTTAAAGAAACCTTTCTAAAGGAGTGGCAAAATATGGCTCAGACGATTGTTGATAACTTGATCATATCCATGACAAATCGAATACAATCACTGAAACTAGCAAATGGAGGACCTACTCTGTACTAGTTCCAAATACTGTTTATTTATGTTGAGTTGGGATTACGTAATTAAATTTTAAAATTTGATGTAGTTTATTTCCAGTGGCTAAAAACTTTTCTTAGGCCACTGTACTATTAAGACAGGAGTAAATAGTTGTGTCATTAACATAGATACCGAGTTGAGAACAGATGACATCAGGAAGGTCTTTGATGGAAATTAGGAACAACGGAGGTCCAAGGATAAAAGCGTGGGGAACACCTGCATTAATACAAAAAAGATCTAGAAGAGTGGCCGCTCAAGATAACTTTCATTTCATGATTTAAAGAGAAAGACTGAATCAGTTAAAAAAATCGCCCAGAAATACCATAACCTTTGAACTTGTGAACAATATCAGTTTGCCAAACCCTGTCAGATGTTTATTCAT